CAAGACTCAAGATGGGAAGAGAGTGAAACCTTTCCTAGAGAGAAAATACCCCTAGGAACCCTACACCCTACCTTCCCATACACCCTACCTTGGCTTTCCTACTCCATACCCGATTCCATACACCCTACCTTCCCGTATACCTTACCTTCCCATACCCCATACTCCCTACGTTAGCTAGCCTACACCTGACCCTACTCCATACACCATAGTACTTCATACATTATAGTACTCCATAACCTTTAGTTATTTTATACCTTACCCTATCCCATACACCCTAGTTTTATATGTCATACATCAACCCAACCCACCTAAGCTATACACCTAGACTTTAAACCCTAAACTTCTCTCTCATGTGCATGCAAAGGGACCGACGAATGTGCACCTAGGTTTAAGCCCATTCTAAGTCCACTCTCTCTCCTCTCTCTTTCTTTCTTCTCTCCTTTCTTCTCTTCTCTCTTTTTCTCTCTTCTTTATCTTTCTCTCTCTCTCTCTCTCTCTCTCTCTCTCTCTCTCTCTCTCGCTCAAGTCCGGACCCGCACCTAGGGGCAGACCATGCTTCCCTCCCTCTCTCTTTCTCTCATCTCTCTCCCCCCTCTTCCTGCACATTCCCTATCTGTCCCTCTTCCTGCACTTTCCCTATCCATCCCTCTTCTTGCACCTTCCCTATCCGCCCCTCTTCTTGCGCCTTCCCTATCTGCCCCTCTTCTTGCACGTTCCCTATCTGCCACTATTCATGAGCCTTCCCTATCTAACCCTCTTCATGCACCTTCCCTATCTGCCCCTCTTCCTGCACCTTCCCTATCCACCCCTCTTGTTACACCTTCCCTAGTTTTATATACCATACCTCAACCCAACCCACCTAAGCCATACAACTAGACTTTAAACCCTAGCCTAGACCAAGACTTCTCTCTCATGTGCATGCAAAGGGACCGACGAAGGTGCACCTAGATTCAAACCCATTCTAGGTCCACTCTCTCTTTTCTTCCTCTCTTTCTTTCTCTCTTCTCTCTCTTTCTCTCTCTTATTTTCTCTTCTCTCTATTTATCTTTCTTCCTTCTCTCCTTTTTCTCTCTTCTCTCTTTCATCCTCTCTCTCTCTCTCGCCTTCTCTCTCTTGCTCAAGTCCGGATCCACACCTAGGGCGGACCAGGCTTCCCTCCCTCTTTCTTACTCTCATCTCTCTCCCCCTCTTCTTACACCTTCCCTACCCGCCACTCTTCCTGCATTTTTCCTATCCGCCCCTCTTCCTGCACCTTCCCTATCTGCCCCTATTCCTGCACCTTCCCTATCCGCCCCTCTTCCTGCACCTTCCCTATCCGCCCCTATTCTTACACCTTCCTTATTCGCCCATATTCCTGCACCTTCCCTATCCACCCCTATTCCTACACCTTCCCTATCCACCCCCTACTTATGTACCTTCCATATCCGCCCCTATTCCTGCACATTCATTATCCGCCCGTATTCCTGCACCTTCCTTATCCGCCCCTATTCTTGCACCTTCCCTATCCGTCCAAAGTCTCGGACCCGCACCATAGAGTGAGTCTAGCTCTCTTTCCTTTCTTTTCCCTTCTTCTATCACCCTCTCTCTCTTGTCCAAAGTCCCAAACCCGCACCATTGAGTGGGTCCAGCTCTCTTCCCTTCATTTCCATTCTCTCTCACTCTATTACCTTGTCCAAAGCCCGGACCCGCACCATAGGTGGGTCTAATTCTTTCTTTCCTCTCTCTTGTCCTTCTCTCATTCCCCCACCTCATCTAAAAGTAGGTGCGGTCCAGCCTTCTCTCTCTTCTCCCTCTTCCTCTATCACTCTCTCATCTCACCCTGAAGCCTGGACCCGCACCATAGGCGGGTCCAATTCTCTCTCCCCCATTCTCTTCTCTTATCTCTCACTCTTATATCTCACCCGAGGCTCGGACCCGCACATTAGTCGGGTCCAACCCTCCATCTTTTATATTCTCATCCTCCCTCACCCTGTCCTGTCCTACTGAGCTCGAACCCGTACCTAAAGTGGGTCCATTGCTTTCCCCTCTACATTCTACCTTCTTGACACACCTTGAGATACTTGGACCCGCTCCTCCCTCACCCCGTCCTGTCCTACTGAGCTCGGACTCGTACCTAAAGTGGGTCCATCACTTTCCCCTCTACATTCTACCTTCTTGACACACCTTGAGATACTTGGACCCGCACCATAGGCGGGTTTATCTTCTTTTACACCCTTTATTTCATTTCTCTCTCACTTTAAACACTTCCCCTCTCTTTAAATCATATTTTGACTTCTCACTCATATTACTTTGTTTTTGTTTCATTGATTCTTCATTCTCTCTCTTATTCACCACTTCTTTCACCCTTGAAGACTCAATTTGGGGTCTTCCTGAGATAGTGCCTTAGGGTTTTAACTATTGGACTGCTACTCTAACCATCAGCTCGTACAGTGTAGTTAAGTCATAAGAGATATTGATTCTCTTGTACTGGATCACTCGGGTTGGGGTCATCTTGAGCTAGCTTTTCTTAGAGTTCTAACCCTTATACTACTCTAACCACCAGGTCATACAGTGTTCGAGCTGTGAGAGATTTATCTCTTTTGCTCTCGCTCTCTTCTCTTCTCTCACCGGATTACTTTTAGGGAGCTCTTTGGGTTAGTGACATAGTTATAGGCTTAGTCATGTAACTCTACTTTTCAAAACCTTCGGGTACCAAGGCTTTGAGCCTGGTACTTTCCCTTGCCTCTAGTAACGCTTCTTAAGAAAGGTTACGCCGAGAGGCTGCCCAATTCTCGGGTCATCCTCTTTCTCTTCTTCCATCTCTTCTTCTTCTTCTTCTCTCTAAACTAAACTCCCCATCAATTCACTCTTATTCTTATCTTTCTTCTCTATCTTTATTTCTTCTTCTCTATTACTCTAACGCCTAGGCTAGACTTCCCAATCTACCATATAATTACCAATAGGAGAATATCCCAAAAAGGTATACCCTGAAAGCCATTTTTAGTGTGTAGATTTGAGTATTGTGTAGTAAAACGAGAGAACCAAATTCAAACTGCGCTGCAAGGACAACCGAAGGGCTTTCGAAATGATCTAAGAGGATGAATCGTCCGGACGCGTCCCTTGAACCCAAATGACGTGGTAGGTACTCGAGTCATTCCTTGTCGATTAAAATCTCTCTTTATTGGTTCTTATCTGCACTATACGCACATGCACACACACACATGTGGGCCCCATCATTGTTCGAGAGAGGATTCTTTCGACCGGGTCACTCATACCGGGACGACGAGAAATCAAGCCCGACCAGTAAGCAAGCAAGTATAGAAATACCAAGTTCACACTGACCATACATTACAAGGAACAGATTATGCTTGGAATCATGGTCCAATCCAAGCAATATATAAATTTGGAGTTTGTTGATCTCTGGTGCCATATACCAAGCGAATCGAAACAGATACCCACATGTCACTAAAAGTCATAACATAGAGAGAATAAACGAAGTACGTCGCTCCAGATGGAAGTAAACATTCAATCATTCTTGAATTTCAACGAGATACTAGAGGACCTATAATAGGCAGCAGCTCAAGAATCAAATAAAAGTTGATGTTCAGTTGTCCAGGATTTTCAACTAGAAACAACATCTCATTTTCCCTATTGTTTTATGCCATCGGAAGTTACCAACATAGAACCAATGCCTAGAATCTACACAATATACACATTATTCAAGTCTATTTAACACAGCATGACAAACAAGATCCAATATGAAAGTTACCGCTTTTCTTAAATTTTCAAATGTGTAATATCATGGATAGAGTGAGGAGGAACAGAAGAGCAATAGCAATATCATAGACGGATTGGAGCATAACACAAACAAAAATTGAATTTTTGGTTTTAGACTAAGCTGGCTAAGAAGCCTGTGATAGACCCATAAGCTAAGGATCAAATCCATGGCAATGGTTTTGCTTATTTGATAAATCTTGAACCAATTTTCGGACTCATCCCCAATAACCCAAAACACCTCTGCCAGAAAAAAGTTTCTGAGACCTTACAAGCCACTAATAGAAACAAATCCTTAAGCAACTTCTTCAATCCAGAGCAAGGAAGGTTTATGTGAATATTTACATAAGTTGATGCCATCAGTTGCAATATTTCTAATTGCTCAAGTCCAATAAGTACCCATTCCAGGCCTTCCATTCTTCCTTCCTTCATAAATCTTGAACATATAGGCAGGCAGGCTCCTCAACAATGCTCATGCATGCTTCGATAAAAATAAGTGATAACCACTTTATGTCCAAATAGTAAATTATAATTGACTTGGTCATGATAGACTAACACACCCTCAATTCCATAAATTCATTCACGATGACCACAGCTTATCATGTAATTTATTGTGATTACTCAATAACAATGTTCTTTGTTTTTGTTATTATACCTTTCATTCAACTGACATCTTCAGCATATATTTATAATTTATTGTTTCTAGATTAACTTTTCCATATGTTCAACTAGCATTGCACACTACAAGCTACATTGAGGTAACCATATGCATGTTTTTGGGTTAAGAACAGTGTTAAATTTCAAATTCCAACATAGCCCCACAAATCAATCAAGAAGTCAAAATAGAATGTATTCTTAACTAGCACAAGATCACACCATACCAGTGCACAACATTTGTGAATATTGAATACTACTGCATCACATTGTAATTCATAAAACCACATGTCCGGAAAAGTTTGACTATCAAAATTAAAAAGCTTGCTCACTCACCGATTCCTTGGGTCAAAATGGTGAACAAATTCTATCAGTAATAAGGGGGAATAAATGAATAAAACAAGTCCACTTTAGACCATGAGAAAAACAGAAGTTTGAAACATATATTGCCACAGATAATAAAGAGATTCAAAACAATCTTTATACATGAAACTCAAAGTCCCAAATAGGATCTAAGATTTAAACGTTAGCTGCCTTTCTGTGTCTTAAGCTGCGCTAACGTTTGAAGAATAAAAACAGACTAAAGATCAAAATTAAGCACCAACCCCAAATAAATATCTCATAAGGAAAACTATTAATCATTCACCTTTGCAGAAATTGACAAAATTTATGTAGAAGTTACAGAATTCTACCGTTCAAAAAAAGGAGGGGAAAAACAAAAAAGTCATTGATTTCTCATTGGGGCTTTTGAGAAACCATAATCTTAAACACCAATTTGTGGGTTTTCTTTGCTTTCTTTATAGATTCTAAGCAAATACTCCGCCTCATCCTCATAATAATAAACATAAAATTCCTTCTCCAACTTCCCACAAGCTCCAACAAAGTCCACGGGATTTCTCATTGTGAATTTTGAGAAACCATAATCTTATACACCATTTAGTGGGTTTTCTTTGCTCTCTTTATAGATTCTAAGCAAATACTCTGCCTCATCCTCATAATGATAAACATATTTCTCCAAAAATTCCTTCTCCAACTGCCCACAAACTCCATGAAAATCCACATCCTTCTTCAACAAATTCTTCAATCTCAAAGCTTCCACCACTTTATGCCTAGGAATCACCCTTCCCTCTAAACTAAAAGCGAGAAGCTTTGGACGAGCAACCAAAAAAGACTGATCAAACTTCATTTCATTAGTGAAATATTCCATACCTTTCCTCAACTTCTTTGTAGAGAGAGATAACAGGTGAGGCATCCGCCTAAAAGCTGCAAAAATATCATCTTCCGACCACCCACAACTCTTGAAAAATGTGACTTTATTCTGCAATGTCTCTTTGCTAATGCAGCTCAATGCGATCATGGCATAGCAAAACATACTTGAATGAGAAGAGAAACCAAGTTCTTTAACTCGCTCCGCAATTTCTTCAGTCCTCTTGGGATCTTGCGTAAAAAATCTAGGATATTTAGACAAGAATTTCGCCAACTCTGAACCCACAATTCCAAATTTTTGCACACTATTTATGTTGGGTAGAAGTATCTTATCAGGATCAAAGAAAAGGATCCAACCACAACGCTTGATTGCCATTAAAATTTCTTCATTGGTCAAATAGTTTCTCAGAAACAGGACAGATGGGTAAAGACGTTTATTAAGGCTATAACCAAAAAGAGATGGGTTTGCATTGATGAAGTCCTTAAGTTCAGAGCCAGAAAGACCCAAATCTTGGAATAACCTCAATTTGGGTTTGAGTGTTTTCTGGACATCGGATGCAAGGATTTGGGGTTTTCTACTAACAATTTCATCGATATGGGTATCAAGGAAACCAGAGTTTCTGAGAAATTTTATTACAGAGATAGGGTTTCCAGATGTTTTCAGGGTGGGGTAGATGGCAAAAGTTGCAATAGCTGCTTCTTTAGAGAGACCAAGCGATTCAATGAGATAATTTATGGAGGAAGAACTGTTTAAGGCTGCGGAATCACTTGCGAGGGAAGATGGGTTAGAGAGAGGAAGAGGAGGGGTCTTTGTCGAGAAATGTTGAAGGGAAGAAGCCAGAGGAAGGGGAATGAGAAGGGAAATTAAGTTATGAGTTTTGTAGAGAGAGAAGGACTTTGTTAAGCCCATGTTTCTAAATAAATTAGAAGCAGAAATGGAGAATACCAGTAATGAGATATCAATAGCTTACTTACTTCAATTCCACAAAACTCAGAAGTTTTTTTTGAGGTCTTGCAGCAAGTTGTATCCTTACAATCTTTCTTATCATCTCTCTTGCTTTCATGGGACTTCCCTTTCCCTCTGAAAGCCATCTCCTTGGATCTCTTCCATTACTGTGAAGGGGGCTGCACAATGGAAGGCGAGAAAAGGCGAGAAAACTAGGGCTCAACTGACATGAATAGACACAAATACACTTCAACGTTTTTCGTTATATAGTGAAAAGATTCTATGCTCCCGTAGTAAGCCCAATTGAAATGAATACACACAAATACACTGTAACGTTTTTTCTTTAGTGAAAAGATTCTATACTCCCGTAGGACTACCTTGTCCATGTACTCCCGGGAGCAAAACAGCGTGGGAATAATTTTGGGGCCCCAAATTTTTTAGGATGGAACCTCTTCGTTCGGAAAATTGTTTCACGCGGGATATGCGCTCCATAAGGTGTAAAGCATCCATCTTTTAAGTAAATTTTCCATCTAAAAACAATAAAAACTAACTCTCCAAATGTCTTCTTATTATAATTATTATTTTAAATTTTAAAAATTTATTTATTTATTCATATTCATGATCTCCATGTTAGATATTATATGTCTTTAAAAATTAAATTTTAAAATCCATCTCAAAAATAGATTTATTAAGAGACTCGTATTTCTACATATGCAGGCTAGAAAACTGAGTCCTTAAAACAAATTACAATTAAACACCCTCTATGTACTATAAAAAATAAGGAATTAATACTATTAAACTATTTATCTTTGTTATAAGAGGTCACAATTATTCGAAGCCATTAAATATCAAATTAAACGATTTGAGGAGTGTCATGAAGTTCAAGAAATTTTTTATTGAACTTGAAATCTAATCAAAACACACTTACAGCCAACCAATTTGAAATTTGATAGACATGAATGATAAAAAAGGATAGAACTCAAGATTTTGATAAATTTCTTTTTTTGCAAAAGATATTTTTTTCGATAATTCGAGGAAGAAAAAAGGTCATTTATCGACATTACAAATGAAACTCAAGGTATCATATTGTGATGCACCGTCATCCTAATCACTTAGCCTTAACAAGTTACTTTGTTAGCATCACTTGCTTAAAAAGTTTGAGCACAAGGCTCAAAACTCAAAACATTTATAACAAGATATAGGCCACCACTCCAAAAAGCTGCTAATATATATTAAGAGTAATGATCTTATGAGACCCTCCTACATCTATGAGTGTAAGACTCCAAAGGATCATCGTTAAATTTGACACATATTTCTGGACAAATCAATTCTCTCACCATGTAATAACTTTTTTAGAGATCTGTACCAAATTTAATGGTGATCATTTGAATTCCTGCACACATGGGTATAAGAAGGTCTCATAGGATAATTACTCATATATTAAACCAGTTTTATTTTATGATCATTAATAATATTTTTATGTTAATTAAATAATTGTATAGATGTATTTTTCCCATATTCAGATTGATGGGAGAAGTACCACACACTTCAATACGTTTTAGAGACCGATACATTTTAGATACCAATGCTCGTGTTAAATACTGACACCGAAACGTCTGTAATACTTGAAAAGGGGAGTATACCTTCTCTTTAAAAAAGAAAACATTTTCACCACTAGAGTGACTTAGCACCAGGCCCTTAACTACGTGGAGGTCAGCTGGTTCGTATAAGGAGAAACATTAAAAACTCTCCATCTGTTTTTTAAGGACAAACATTTAACCCACCATCATCCTGATAAAATAGACAGCAGTCATTTTTTTATACGAAAACCCTAGAATCTATTTGAAGGTGTGTGAACATGACCTCATTCACAATTAGCTCTTTCACTAGCTTAAACGTGAGAATCATCTTGACCTTACAAACAATTTCATATTAAATGCAAAATGCTGAAAACAAGAAAATAGATAGAAGGCTTTTTAACTTAACGTTCAAACAAAAGAAAAAAAAAGAAAAGATCAGGGATAATCATCTCAATAAGAAGTTTCCAAATCCCATACATTCTAACCTTGATAATTGACATAAGACTCTTTGTTGTCTAATTAAACATCTTGTAAAAGAGTTGCAAAGTTTCAAGTTGCTCAATATGAATTGCAAAGCATCGTTTCGCAAACTACCATCTTAAATTGCAGTTATTAGGTTTCCCATTCTTCCCAAACCCCATGTTTGCTTCCACAAAAATGACTGATACCCATCTTGGTGTAACAGACGTACATTCTGATTAGCTTCACATAATAGACTAAAATTTCCTTTCATAGTTGATATATAACACCTATGACATGGTAATTTGATCTTGGTCTAGGTGGTAAGCATACCTCAATGATCAGCAAGATATCATGTTTTGGGCCCTCTTCAGCAAAACAGCACATAAATTCATGGCAATTTTCTCAGGGGGCTGTATTTGTTCTAGGGTTTTCTACTGAACTTCCTGGTTCTCTTCAATTTTGAAGTTACAGAAAAGCCCCTTCTTGTGTTGTGCATGGCAATTTTTTCATGTGGTATGGAGTTTAAGGTGTAGTGATCACATGCTATATCTAAAAGGTTCTACATTTGTGCAGCTTTCAAATTACAAATGTTTAGATTATGACCGTTCTCATTTGCAGATAAATCTTTTGACTTTGATCCTTCCTACAACTTGATACAACAATCCATGTAATCTACTAATCTACTAGTTTGGAAAATGCTGTGACGTTTTAGAATTCCATATTAGGCCTTCCACATAGATTTTCAATAGAATAGGTACCATCATCATGACCATCCAAGCTTTATCCCAATTATTTGGGGTCGGCTACAGAAATCATGTTCCTCCATTTTCTCTATCTAGGGGAATACCCTCAGTAATATTAAAAGTCTCCACACCTTTTATCCCACTTCTCTTAACCTTCCACTTGAACAATATCGCACCTCCTAACTGATACAATATTAGGTCTACATTGCACATGGCCAACCTACATAAATCTATTTTTCCTCATCTTATCACCTATTGAAGCCACACCTAAGTTCTCTCGTATGTATTCATTTTGAATTCTAGCCTTTCTTGTCTTGCCATTCATCCATCTCAACATCATCTCACCTACAATAATCCTATGGATATGTTGTTTTTTGACCGCCCCATATTCCGTCCCATATTGTGCGGCTGGTCTTACAGCAGTCAGATAGAACTTCCTCTTCAGTCTCAATGGTATGTGGCGATCACATAAAACTCCAGATGCACATCTCCATTTCGCCCACCGAGCTCTAATTCTGTGTGCGACTTCTTCTTCAATTTCTCGATTCTCTTGTATTATCGACCCTAGATATCAAAAGCAATCTCTTTGAGGCCAATTGAATAGGTACCAATTTTCATTTCATCAAGATGGCAACTGTTGGAAAGTAATTATTTAGGAAAACTACCAATTAGACTCGTACTTTTTGCATACCTTCACATAAATCACATTTACGAGGACCTATGGCCTGTATACCCTAGGGGATGACTTCAATCCTTCTGTGAATGAGACACTGGAATTTTAGAAGCATTAGGAAAATTTCACACACAAGAAACATCAGGTCCTCTAAGCAACCTTTTAAAACGGTCACGTAACAATGCATGGCATCACACATTTCATGGGGCCTGAACAAAAACAAAGCACCCCAACCAGCAATTTTCCAAACAAACATGTGAATTTTCAAGGCCTGAAAAATGTATTAAGCCTAAAAGTCAAGAAGAAGAGGCGAACACATATGTATCTTCCTGATTTTAGGATATCCATAGTTGAAGCAATGCAAACACCTGATACAAAGAACAATGGAGGAGGTGTGGTGGACCCTCCACCAACCACAAGCCATCTGACATGGAGTTCCTGATGTCATTTGACCAGTCTCTAATTTTTGAAGGTTTTGGTAACTCAGAACATTCTACCATGATTTTGCAAATCAGCCTTCCTGTGCCATAAACTTTTTCCTCCTATCTGTTGCCTCATGAGAAAGATGCTTTCACCCCTCCTATACCCATTCAATTCATCACTCAACCAACTTTTTGAGACAAGTATAAGCTTAGAAGGAATGAATGAACTTGAACACACAAATCCAATGCGGTTTTCTCTCATCAGAGTGCTTGACAGATTATGTCGAGAGAAAACTCCATAGAGGAGTACCTCTAGCATCACCCATCAGACCAATGGTGAGCTAGGCAGCTTGCAACTGCAATTGTGTTAGAGCTCTTAAGGCGATAAATAACATCTACAACTATATGCATCATCTTTTGCCTATGAGACACGTACTCTCAGACATCAGAAACATCTGTTAACAAACCAACTTATTTCAACATATATTTGGCCAAGATTCTCAGTCTACTGTGACTGTAGACATCTTAGGTGATATTATGGGCTCATCAATAAATAGACGCAGATTGCTTTAAAGTTGGAAGGATTGTAACAATTGTTCCCTATGGTGCACAACAGCTTCTATCATGATATGGTCCATATAAAGAGCAGTAGAGAAGCCACCAATCAACGCCTTAAACCTTGATCTAGATGCCCTGCATGCTATATATAACCATGAAATAATTATAATGAGAGTCGAAGTAATGTTGGGCTACATATGAGAAAAGCTCCTATTTTAACAGCTTTTAGATTTGAATCTCACTTAGCAAACGAAATTAGAACTAATTTTGCTTGGACTGAGTCCCCATTGGGTTACATTCCATAGAACTTGATAAACTTCCGGTATAATCTTGGGAACAGTGTGGTCATCAGGCCCTTCGCCATATGATCTTGGGAACAAGATGGTCATAAGGGATCATCAATAGGTTGGATTGGACAGAGATGGAGGTTAGAGGTCCCACCAAATATCTTATTCTTGCAGACATAATCTCATTATATAACATCACCATCCAAACCCTTGATTGGACAGTGATGACCACATGGTTATCATTTTATGATTGCCCTTGAAGGTGTCACTGCTTTAATCTTTCCAAGAATCTATTTCCAAGATGCGAATGGTCTGATCACACCATAATGAATAGAGTCATCCCACTTGGGCCATAAACAAAACAAAAGAAAAACTTCAACTGTCTCGCCAATTTCTGAGCCTTAAGCAATTCTCTTCAGTCTCAGAAATTGACAAACCAAATATGAAAATTCAGCTAATTTTGCATCAATCCAGATGTTGGCACACTTTTTTTA